CAGAAGTCCTTACCCCTGAACCAGCACACAGACTGGTGTGTAAATCACGTCCTCCTCTTTGGACACACTCTCCTGAGGGGGGCGCACTTACCCTTTGTTATAGACTCATTTGAAGGGTTGTGTTTAAATGAGGTGACACTGACTCAGTGGTCTGTACTGTCAGTGAGAGTGAGTCACCACAGGGACGTGTCTGTAGGTGTGTGTGTGTGCACGTACAGCTGGGGGGGAGGGGGGGCGTGTCTGAATGGACTTCAGTCTCTGACCTCCCCCCCCACACCCCCGCCTCTCCCCCTGTGTGTGACTCAACCGTGTACTACACAAATACTACTTCATCATGTATCAATAGTTTGTGACTCAATTTTAACCAGTGAAATCAGTGAGTGGCTCAACCTGGGGGCACGGGTTTACAGCACCACAGATGGTTCCTCTTTTTCATCTCTGTGTTGTCCTTGTTGCTGTGGCAACACTTCCTGTGTCCATGGCGGTGGTTTCTCCTCCACTGTGACACAGAGACGACGTGAGGCTCATCACGCCGCCCTGCTGGATTTATGTAATACTCATATGTCGGACGGGCAAGTGGGAGGAGAAAGATGGATGACCTCGCAGGGGGAGGAAGGGGGAGGAAGGGGGAGACCAGGGCAGGTCCAGGTGGACGTGACTCCACTCAGGCTCCTCCAAGTCTTCCCTCAGTTGTTCTCCTCCGTTCTTGACTTTTCCTTCAGACTCAGACTCTTCATTCTCCCCCTCTCCTTCTCTCCCCCTCCCCTCTCTCCTTCTCTCCCCCCTCCCCCTCGGCTGTGGTGTGGACCTGGAGAAAACTCACACAAACTCCAGACAGGGTTAGAGTTAGCACAGCCAGAATCAGGACTCAAACGCCTGATCTTCTTGCTGTAAGGCCAAAGCACCAACCACCGTGCGCCCCCGTCTGTTGGTGATTGGTGCACTTTAACAGCATTCACATCACTGGGACCTGGAGATCTGATCTGGTTCAATCAGTTCACGGGTCAGAGGTCAACGAGGTGGAGCACTGCGTCCAATCAGCACGCTGACAGCTTCTCTGCAGGTAAACACACACACGGAGTGTTCCATTCTTAGCCCTGACACTGAGATTACACATTAACACCATTACACACACACACACACACGCACACACACGCACACACTGGCGTAACCTCAGGTCGACTGAGACGAGGTCGAGTGCACGTCGTCCAGAAGAGTCTGAGACGAATGACTGGACAAAAAACCATCGACAAGACCAGAGGTCTGACCTGAGGCCGACCAGCGTGATCACCCAGGCAGGGTGGGAGGGGGGAGAGGCAGGGCGAAGGGAGGG